GTATATGAACCTTGAAGACATTGTGCTAAGTGAAATAAGCCAATCACAAAAAGACAAATGCTATAGGATTGCACTTATATATCTACAATGGTCAATTCATAGAAACAAAGTAGAATGTTGGTTACCCTGGGCTGAGGGGAAGCAAGGGGGCGTTGTTTAAAGGATATATACAGTTTCAGATTGCAAGATGAAAAAGTTCTGGAGATTGGTTTCACAGCAATGTGAATATACTTAACACTCTGAACTGTATACTTAAAAATGATTAAGATGATAAATTTTATGTGTTTCTACTACAATAAAAAATACACAACAGATAATTGCATGAATAGCCCAATTTGTAGCCTCCTGTATCTATGCCCTTTGCCTTGTAACTTCTTAGTCCCTTCACACACTGTCTCTGGGCTTGGCACATAAAGTACAGTCAAAAACAAGCTATGTAAGTTCTGAGGCTAGGTCACAAAAAGGATATCGTTTCTGCCTTGCCTGCTGTCTCAACTGGGACTCTTAACATTTGGTACCAAGCCAGCATGCTATGAAGACGCCCACAGTAGCCAACATGGAGACTACATTGAAGCAATACAGGTATTGAGAACAGAGACGCCCCCAGCCCCACTCCCCACCCAGCTGGCTGCCAGCATCAGGTCCACCAAGGAAGACATATGGATGGCAAATAAGCACATGAAAAGATGCTCAACACCATTAGTCTTTAGAGAAGTACAAATTAAAACCATAATGAGACATCACTACCTACCTACTAGAATCACTGAAATTAAACAGACAACAGACCATGTGCTGGCCAGAATGTGGAAGAATTCATACTCTCATAGGCCAATGAAGGCGACACAAAATGATACTGTCACCGGTAGAGGGTCATGGCTGCAAATTGTCCAGATTCTTGGCGTTTTGAACAAAGAATTGGACAAAACGCCCAGCAAAGAAAGAATGAAGCAACAAAAGAATGAAAGCAGCTGTCTCGCCTTTCCGCTCGGAGGAGGCCAAGATATAACTTTCTTTGTCGTCCCGAATCCGGGTTCATCCGACACCGGCCGCCTCCACCATGCCGCCGAAGTTCGACCCCAACGAGATCAAAGTCGTGTACCGGAGGTGAAGTCGGTGCCACTTCTGCCCTGGCCCCCAAGATCGGCCCCCTGGGTCTGTCTCCAAAAATAGTTGGTGATGACATTGCCAAGGCAACAGGTGACAAAGGGCCTGAGGATTACAGTGAAACTCACCATTCAGGACAGACAGGCCCAGATTGAGGTGATAACCTTCTGCCTCTGCCCTGATCATCAAAGCCCTCAAGGAACCACCAAGAGACAGAAAGAAACAGAAAAACATTAAACACAGTGGGAATATCACTTTTGATGAGATCGTCAACATTGCTCGTCAGATGCGGCACCGATCCTTAGCCAGAGAACTCTCTGGAACCATTAAAGAGATCCTGGGGCCTGCCCACTCTGTGGGTTGTAATGTTGATGGCGCCACCCTCATGACATCATAGATGACATCAACAGTGGTGCTGTGGAATGCCCAGCCAGTTAAGCACAAAGGAAAATATTTCAATAAAGGATCATTTGATAACTGGTGTAAAAAAAAAAAAAAAAAGAACGAAAGCAGGGATTTATTGAAAACGAAAGTACACTCCACAGCGTGGGAGCAGGCCGAGCAGCAGGCCGAGCAGCGGCTCAAGGGCCCCGATACAGAATCTTCTCCAGTCCAAATACCCTCTAGAAGTTTCCCATTGGCCACTTCATGCTCACCTCAGATCAATGAAGTGGTAGCCCACAATCAGTCTGACAGGTTGCAGAAAGCAGCCAACCAGAGGATGACATAGTTACAAAAGTTACACTCCTGTGCAAACATATGATTGGTTGCAGAAAGCAACCAATCAGAGGCTAGGGTGAAGTTACAAAGTTACACTTCTATGCAAACGAAGACTCAGCCCGCAATCAGTCTGATTGGTTGTGGACAGCAACCATTCAGAGGCTGGAGTGAAGTTACAAAGTTGCAAAGGAAGACTTCACCCGCAATCAGTCTGATTGGTTGCTGACAGTCAATTTCCCATGCCTGGCAGAAAAGGTGGGGGATTTGTAAAGGGAGTAGCCTCTGGTTTTTGTGATTTAGGCATGGAAAATTAGGGTTTTCCTTTCAGTTTAGTTCTAGGAACGCTGAGTGAAACAGCCTTACGTTCCCTGCCTTCAAACCCTATTCTCCTGCCTCAATACAACTACTTACCAAAACAGTTTGGCAGTTTCTTTAAAATTAACTATACACTTACCATATTATCCAGCTATTTCACTGCTAGTTGGTTCCTAAGAGAAAAGGAAGCTATATTCTTAGAAAGAGTTGTACGTGATTGCTTGTAGCAGTTTTATTTATAATAGCCAAAAACAAACGAAAAAAATCTCACATGCCCACTTATAAAGTATGGTGTATATTCTTTTTTGTTTTGAGCCTCACTCACTCTGTCACCTAGGCTGGAGTGCAGTGGGGTGATCACAGCTCACTGCAGTCTTGACCTCCTGGGCTCAAGCAATCCTGCCTTAGCCTCCTGAGTAGCTGGGATTACAGGCACAACCCTCCCCGCCCAGCTAATTTTGTATTTTTAAGTAGAGACGGGGTTTCTTCATGTTGGTTAGGCTTGTCCCCAACTCCTGACCTCAGGTAATCTACCCGCCTTGGCCTCCTAAAGTGCTGGGATTACTAGGCCTGAGCCACTGTGCCTGGCCAGGAGCAGATGTTTAATAGCAAAAGAAGGAGAAAGAGAAAGGAAAATAGCTCTCTCTTTAGTGAGAAAGAAGGGATTTCCAAGAGGAAAAGGTCAGCTGGTGGTGGACACGCCAGATTTGATAGTCCAGCTTGAGGAGGCCATGTCAGATTTAGGTAGGGCTCACAGGTTTTTTGGGTCAGGTGTGACATTTACATAGCACACATGGAAGGCTGGTGGCCCCACCCTAATCCTATTATGCAAATGAACTCTCCACTCGGCTGAGGCCATCTTGTCTGCTCCTTACTGTACACGTGGCTGGCAGAGAAGGGGAGATGGAGCCGCCATTTTGAACATGTCTAGGCCCAGGTAGTTCTTTCCTGTGGCATCCACCTGTGCAAGCTCCCAGTTTGCTTGTCTATGTCTGCAGCTTGACTTTACTGGCTGCTCTTTGTTAGAAAATGATTTGGTGCCAGGTGCGGTGACCCACGCCTATAATCCCAGCACTTTGGGAGGCCGAGGCGGGTTGATCACCTGCGGTCAGGAGTTCCAGAGCAGTCTGGCCAACTTAGTGAAACCTGTCTCTACTAAAAATACAAAAAATTAGCTGGGCATGTTGGCGGGCACCTGTAATTCCAGCTACACAGCAGGCTGAGGCAGGAGAATTGGTTGAATCTGGGAGGCAGAGGTTGCGGGTGAGCTGAGATCAGGCCATTGCACTCCAGCCTGGGCAATAAGAGTGAAACTCCTTCTCAAAAAATAAAAAATATTCAGTGGGCATAATTAAAAATAATGAGAGGTATCACTGAGTGCATTCAATGAGCCAAGTATTGGGATTTACTCATTTTTAAATATAATTTGTCCAAGATTAAGTAGCTCCTTCCTCTATACCTCTATACTATATAGTGCTTCTAAGCCACTCCACAAAAGAAACACTAAGATTAGGGCCCCAGATAACTATCATCATTTAAAAGAAAAAAAATCTCATTATCAGATCAAATGATTCATAGAGCTGTATGTGCTCCTGATGAAAGGGACATCTTAAATCATTACATTCAATTTTGTTGTTGTTGAGACAGAATCTTGCTCTGTCACCCAGGCTGGAGTACAGTGGCCTGATCTCAGATCACTGCAACCTCTGCCTCCTGTACTCAAGTGATCCTCCTACATCAGCCTGCCTCCTGAGTAACTGGGACTACATGGGTGCACCACCATGCTCAGCTAATTTTAAATGGTTTTTTTTTTTTTTTTTTTGGTAGAGATGAGGTCTTACTATATTGTCCAGGCTGGTCGCCAACTCCTGGGCTCAAGCTATCTTCCCACTTCCTCTATTTAACCACGTATAAGAAAAATAATTTCCCCCCGAAGTCATTTTTCTTATGCCTGGCTAAATAGAGAAAGCTTTAAGCTTTAAAAAAAAAGTTGTGGTAAAACATATATAACATTTCAGTGGCATTAAGTACATTTATACTGTTATGCAACCATCACCACCATCCATCTCCAGAATACTTTTCATCATCCCAAACTGAAATTCTCTGCTCAATGAACAGTAACTCCCCATTATCCCCTTCCTCCAACCTCCAGTAACCCCCTTTCTATTTTCTGTTGCTATGAATCCGACTACTCTAGATACCTCATCTAGGTGAAATCATGCTTGTTCTTTTGTGTCTGGCTTATTTCACTTAGCATAATGTCCTCAAAGTTCATCTATGTTGCAGCATGTGTCAGAATTTCAGTCCTTTATTTATTTATTGGAGACAGAGTCTCACTCCCATCACCCAAGCTGGAGTGCAGTGGTGCTATCTCAGCTCATTGCAACCTCTGCCTCTTGGATTCAAGTGATTCTCCTGCCTCAGCCTCCCAAGTAGCTGGAATTACAGCAAATGCCGCATGCCCAGCTTTTTTTTTTTTTGAGACCGAGTTTCACTCTTGTTGCCCAGGCTGGAGTGCAATGGCATGATCTCCACTCACCACAACCTCCACCTCCCGGGTTCAAGCAATTCTCCTGCCTCAGCCTCCCAAGTAGCTGGGATTACAGGCATGCGCCACTGTGCCCGGCTGTTTTGTACCTTTAGTAGAGCCGGGGTTTGGCCATGTTGGCCAGGCTAGTATCCAACTCCTGCCCTCGGGTGATCTGCCCGCCTCAGTCTCCCAAAGTGCTGGGATTACAGGCGTGAACCACCACGCCCGTCCCGAGATTTTTTTTTTTTAAACCTCTGTACTTTAACCCTTTCTTCCTTAGCTGGACTTTGTCCAGCCAGGTTTATTTATAAACCACACAAAGTTCATTAACAAGACCAAGCATTCAGCAAGCCACTCTTCTACCTCCCTTACTGGAGTAAGGCACTCTGAAGGCATAAGTCAGTGAGACATGGCTGAAGATAAAAGCAAGAGAGACTCCATCGGGATGAATATGAAGGGATGCCAGACAAACAACGGGTTTGTCCATAATGAAGACATTCTGGAGCAGACCTCGGATACAGGTAGCTCAGCAGACAACCTGCAGCACAGCAACACGAGCATCCTTGGCTCCCAGGAGCCGGACTTCAAGGGCGTCCAGCCCTATGCGGGGATGCCCAAGGAGGTTCTGTTCCAGTTCTCTGGCCAGGCCCGCTACCGCATACCCCGGGAGATCCTCTTCTGGCTCGCCGTGGCTTCTGTCCTGGTGCTCATCGCGGCCACCGTAGCCATCATTGTCCTCTCTCCAAAGTGCCTAGACTGGTGGCAGGAGGGGCCCATGTACCAGATCTACCCGAGGTCTTTCAAGGACAGTAACAAGGATGGGAACGGAGATCTGAAAGGTACATGCCCAGAGATTGTTCAGGGTGGGTGCCAGGAAAGATGGGTTTATGGTTCTTTCGTTCCTCGGAACCAAATTATGCCTGGGTTGTTCAGTAAGCACATTCCATTATGAATGGTCATGCCAAGTTGGTCCTTGTTTATGATATTCTTAGAAAATCACTCAGCAGAACCCAGCAGTTCTTTTACTAGCCGAAAGGCTATTTGCTGAAGGCCTTTGAGCCAAATGAGTTGTTTAATTTATTGCCCACTAAGTACATATAGTTGTTCAGTCATCAATTCTAACTTCTTACATAGAGCAGCCTTCCTTCTAAAATCTATGTCCTGTTTCTGGGAACTTTATAGTTGAATATGTCAGGGTGGCAGTTGGGAATTGCTTTCCCAGTATACGATGTGGCTAGTTTGGCTGTGTGGCTGGGAGTTTATTAGTGAATAGAGCATAAATAGTATTTTTTTTAAAAAAATCAAGTTATATCTGTAAAAAGTATAGGCTGAGTCTTAAAATTTAAATTCTAAAAAAGGGAAGGAAAGGAGAAAAGGTATAGCAGTATGCATTCGTCATTACTTGAATTAAGGATTGTTTAAAACCATGTCCATATTAGTATGAAACTGAAGTAAAGAATTAACCAGGGGTAGTGGTACATGACTGTAGTTGCAGCTACTTGGCAGGCTGAGGTGGGAGGATTGCTTGAGTCTAGGACCTTTCAGCCAGCCAGCTTAGGCAACATAGGGAGACCCTATCTCAAAAAAAAAAAAAAAAAGTGAAAAATTATTTTTTAAAAAAGCTAAGTTAATAATTTCTTGGGGGGGTTATATGTAAAACATCCTTACAATACATTGCTCAAACCAGAACATACCTAAGGGTAAAATTATGCCAGATGGCAGGCATACACTGGGAACTTCTGAGCAAATTGGTTAGTATGGTCACTCTAGTTCAAGGCAACAATACGAAACAAATTAGGAAACTAACAAACTAATGTTTTACAATGATAATTGGTTTGAAGGAAACACAACAGGATGATATGACTGTGGAAAGTAGAAATGGGCTTAATGTATCTTTAAAATGTTACAAATGAACTCTTGAAACCTGCAACTTTCCTTAATCACTAGTAGAAGGATTTTCTTTTTCACACTGGTCTCATTCTCTCTCTCTCTCTCTCTCTCTCTTTTTGAGACAGAGTTTCACTCTTGTTGCCCAGGCTGGAGTGCAATAGCATGATCTCAGCTCACTGCAACCTCTGTCTCCTGGGTTCAAGCAATACTCCTGGCTCAGCCTCCTGAGTAGCTGGGATTACAGGCATGCGCCACCATGCCTGGCTAATTTTGTATTTTTAATAGAGACGAGGGTGCTCCATGTTGGTCAGGCTGGTCTCGAACTCCTGACCTCAGGTGATTTGCCTGCCTCAGCCTCCCAAAGTTCTGGAATTACAGGCGTGAGTCACCGCATCCGGCTGTATCATTCTCTTTTAAAAAATTGTCCTGCATTGTCACTCATTGAAGAAGAGTGTATCCATCCTTCATGGTGCAGCTCAAACCCATTGCCTTCATTACTCTTTCTTTAGCCTCCCTAATCAGACCATGGGCTCCCCATCCCAGACTCTTTGGCTTTGGATGTGTTTCTAGCATCCTTTAATCCTGCCTTGAGTGACTCCCTTTCCCCGACACATGACCTATTACCTGCTGCCTTTTGCACACAGCAAAAGCAATGTTCTGACTGAATAGACCTAAAGCCCTAAATCCAGAGATACACTTACCACTTCCTGGCCCTGCCTTCCTAATAATCTCCTTCTAGATAGGTCCAACATTCCTATAAACACGGTGGTTTCTAATCAGCTCTGACGTTTGCCATTTCCAATACCTGTTCTTGGAGAAATGTTTTACTTCCTGCAATCCATAGGCATTTGTCTTTGAGGTTGAGAGGATTTCGTTGTTGTTATGATGAAGATCCCATTCCAGTTTTGAGTCTGGTTTTACTGATTGCCCTCTCTGCCCCTGAAGTGTGGGGTGGGATCCCTTGTTTACTTTCTCTCTCTAGCCACTTTGTTTTCATCCTCATGTTCCTTTGTGCCTCATCATAAGATATATTGTGTTGCTGTGCTGGCTTAGATCAAAACTCTTTTGTTGCCTGTTGAGTCCCAGCTACTTGGGAGACTGAGGCAGGAGAATGGCGTGAACCCGGGAGGCAGAGGTTGCAGTGAGCAGAGATTGCACCATTGCACTCCAGCCTGAGCGACAGAGCGAGACTCCGTTTCAAAAAAAAAAGCAGCCTGTTATAGGGGAAGAGCCCAGGTCCTAGGTGTGGAATGACTGTGCTTTGGAATTAGTGACCTTCAGCCTGCTGTGTGGCCTTTGACAGTTTGATTCTAGGAAGCCACATCAGGATTATACAGAAAGTTACTGGAGATTGAATACTAGACTCAAGTTGCTGAATATGCATTTAGGACTCTGAACTAGAAGGAGAAAACACATTATCTGCTCATTATCCTACGAAGTTCCAAATACAAAGTTTCATTTCCACATGTCTTCTCAGCTAAGCCTAAAATTCTCTTCTGTATAAATTCCTGGCTTCCTATATAAGTGAATAAGGGAAACAGTCCAAATGTGGCAAGTTCAAAGGCAGTCTGAGAGTGGAAACAAGGACTCCTCAAATACTGGCACAGACTTACCTTCCGTGTTGCGGTTACACTCCTTCTCAGACCCCGGGCGCTGACAACATTTATCACCTTTTAAAATTAATTGATGTATTTACTTATTTATTTATATTTATTATTATTATTATTATTATTTGAGATGGAGTCTCACTCTGTTGCCCAGGCTGGAGTGCAGTGGCATAATCTCACCTCACCGCAACCTCTGCCTCCCACGTTCAAGCAATTCTCCTGCCTCAGCCTCCCAGGTAGCTAGGATTACAGGCATGCACCACCGTCCCCAGCTAATTTTTGTATTTTTTAGTTGGGATGGGGTTTCACCATGTTGGTCAGGCTGGTCTTGAACTCTTGACCTCAAGTGATCTACCTGTCTCAGCCTCCCTAAGTGTTGGAATTACAGGCATGAGCCACTGTGTCCAGGCTTCTCACCCTTTTTTAGACATGCCCAGTCTATGCTTGCTCCCTCCTTTCCTTTGCTGTGCCTGGAAGCCCTTCACTCTGATCCCCCTTGCCCGCACCATCCTGGGCCTTCTCTGTCCTTACCCTCAGGGGTCATCAGCTTCCTCTGCCCCTGGGGGCCAGGGGCTAATGCCCTGATGCCCTTAAAGCACTTTCTGCAGCGCTTCCTTAGCTCTTCTCCAGTCTCGTCGTCATGCCACCCCTGCCTGCAGACGCTTCCAAGACCAACACCGCCCAGAAGAAACACAATGGGAGTCACATAAGAAATTGTAAATTCTGTAGTAGCCACATTAAAAAAAGGAAAAAAGAAGCAGGTGAAATTGATTTTAATATGTTCTGTTTAATCCAATGTATCATTTCAACACATAATCAGTATAAAAATATATACATATTTTTATTATTTTTTTTTATTTGAAGACGAGGTTTTATCATGTTACCCAGACTGGTCTCGAATACCTGAGCTCAAGCAATCTGCCCACCATGGCCTCCCAAAGTGCTGGGATGACAGGCATGCGCCACCATGCCCGGCCCAGTATAAAAATATGAATGAGATTTTTACATTCTTTCTTTTTGTACAGGGTCTTCAAAATCCAATACATGTTGTTCCCTTACAGCACAGCTCAATTCCATCCAGCCACGCTGCCCGTGCTCAGTAGCCACATGTGGCACCTGGCTGTTAGAACAGCGCAGTGTAGACCACGTGACCGACGGGGCCATGTGTTACTCTGCTCTGTTCCTTGACACTTAGCCCAGCAGCTGGCATAGATTAGCTGCTCAAAAACTATGTGTAGAATAAATGAACAATACCATAGTCTTGGTTTTAAATATAAAATAATGAGTAAGTCACAGATTTTTGTTAATGCTATGTTAAATATCATCGATTACTGCTAGGTAACTAATTTGATTTTTTCTTTTCTTTTCTTTTTTTCTTTTCTTTTCTTTTTTTTTTTTTTTTGAGAAAGGGTCTTGCTCTGTCGCCCAGGCTGGAGTGCAGCGACATGATCTTGGGTCCTTGTAGCCTCCACCTCCCGGGTTCAAGTGATCCTCCTGCCTCAGCCTCCCAGGTAGCTGGGATCACAGGCATGTGCCACCACGCCCAGCTAATTTTTGTATTTTTAGTAGAGACAGGGTTTTGCCATGTTGGCCAGGCTAGTCTTGAACTCCTGACCTTAGATATCCTCCCTCCTTGGCCTCCTAAAGTGCTGGGATTACAGGTATGAACCACAACACTCGGCCTAATTTGATGTTGTTGTTTTTTTATAGAGCTAGATCTTCCTATTTGAATTATACTCAAATTCAACAAAATTCTATGTATTTTTGCCTTCATGTAAATATTTCCATCTTAGGCATATTTGTTATATTTTTTGTCCTTTAACTAAAACAAAGTAGGATTTGTTCATGACTTTGACTTTTTTCTTCAGGTATTCAAGATAAACTGGACTATATCACAGCTTTAAATGTAAAAACTGTTTGGATTACTTCATTTTATAAGTCGTCCCTTAAAGATTTCAGATATGGTGTTGAAGACTTCCGGCAAGTCGATTCCATTTTTGGAACGATGGAAGATTTTGAGAATCTGGTTGCAGCCATACATGATAAAGGTAAGTTGAATGGAAAGTGGGCAGCATGGGGGTGAGGGTTGAGAGAAGCACTTTTTCAAATGTTTACTTAAAGCATTTCTTCCCTTTAACTGTCGTGTACTATTTCTTTCCCTCCCTCCCTCCCTCCCCCTTCCTTTCTTCCTTCCTTCCCTCCCCCCTTCCTTCCTTCCTTCCTTCCTTCCTTCCTTCTTTCCTTCCTTCCTTCCTTCTCTTTCTCTTTCTTCCTTCCCTTCCCTTTCCTTTTTTCGTTTCTCCTTTCCCTTTCCTTTTTCCTTCCCTATCTCCTTTCTGCCCCGACCCCTCCTTTCCCTTCTTTTTTTTTTTTTTTTTTTTCCCAGACAGGGTCTTGCTCTGTCTGCCAGGCTGGAGTGCAGTGGTGTAATCATGGCTCACTTCAGCCTCCACCTCCTGGGCTCAAGCAGTCCTCCCACCTTAGCCTCCCAATGTATTAGGGTTACAGGCGTGAGCCACTGCTGTGCCTGGCCTGTCATATGTTATTCTAATACAACTTTTCCTAGCATTTGAAATTTTTTTTACTCATTAGGTTTAAAATTAATCATCGATTTCATACCAAACCACACCAGTGATAAACATACTTGGTTTCAATTGAGTCGGACACGGACAGGAAAATATACTGATTATTATATCTGGCATGACTGTACCCATGAAAATGGCACAACTGTTCCACCCAACAACTGGGTAAGTATCAACCTGTCTGATTTACAAAGTGGTAAAAGGCAGATATGCAGTCATTGAACTGGTTTAGTAAAACCCTTTTGAGGAAAAAATTAATGAATATAGTTTATGGGAAGGGGGAAGTTTCTGAAAGAAATAGACATAAGGCTTCCAGTTATTATTTACCCAGACCTCCAATTATTATTTAGGTTTCTGATTTCATCATAGAGGTGATGTGTTCTAGCAAATTCAAACCTATATTCTCTCCTTCCACTCTTGCTTCACTTCCTACCTGATCCAACTTGGATTCCATGTCCCATTAGTTCGATAACCATGTTTCTACTATCCATACCCCTTTGCTTATTTATTTATTTTTTCTTGAGATGGAGTTTTGCTCTTGTCCCCCAGGCTGGAGTGCAATGGCACGATCTCGGCTCACTGCAACCTCCGCCTCCTGGGTTTAAGCAATTCTCCTGCCTCAGCCTCACCAGTAGCTATGATTACAGGTGCATGTCACCATACTCGGCTAATTTTTGTATTTTTAGTAGAGGTGGGGTTTCACCATGTTGGCCAGTCTGGTCTTGAACGCCTGACCTTAGGTGATCCGCCCACCTCAGGCTCCCAAAGTGCTGGGATTACAGGTGTGAGCCACTGCGCCCCGCCCCCTTTGCCTTTCTGACTTTTTGTCTCCTCTGACAAAACCCTAGCCATGAATGAACCCAATTACCTACTTTCTTTTTGCCTAAATCCTGGTAGTTGAGTCTCTGGAGATATCACACCTTCATTGTCCCCACCTGAACTGAGCCATCCAATCTTCTTGGGAATTTTGCTAATTCCTTCCCTCCGTCTTTTCAAACATCGTATCTGCCTCTGCCCCGATCACTCTCAGCAGCAAACTTGACTTCACAGAGAAAACAGAGGCCATCAAGCCTGCCTGCCCCATTCCCAACCTCTTCCTACTCACTCCTTTTACAACAGAGGCCACATCCCTCCTTTCTGGGGTGACCAGATTTAGCAAATAAAAATTCAGAATGCCCAGTTAAATCTGAATTTTGGATAAGCAGTGCATAAATAGGTTTTTAGTGTGGACCATACCTTCTTTTTTATTTTTGTTTTTCAGAGGCAGGGTCTTGCTCTATCTCCCAGGCTGGAGTGCAGTGGCTTGATCATGGCTCACTGCAGTCTTTGCCTCCTGGGCTCAAGCAATCCTCCCAGCTCTGCCTCCCAAGTAGCTGGGACCACAGGTGTGTGCCACCATGCCCAGCTAGTATTTTATTTTTTTGTAAAGAGAGGGCTTCACTATGTTGTCCAGGCTGGTCTTGAACTCTTGGGCTCAAGTGATCCTCCTGCTTCGGTCTCCCAAACGGCCGGGATTACAGGTGTAAGCCACTGTGCCTGGCCGCATGAGTCATGCTTATACTCAACAATATGTGTTGTTGATCTGAATTCAGATGTGACTGGGCATCCTGCACTTCATCTGGCAGCTCTGCTTCTGTCCCAGGCCAGAGCTTCCCCTTGCTCGGGTTTGTGTTCTCTCCTGCCTTTATTCTGGATCATCCCTTCCTCCTTCAGTCCTCCTTCTGTCTTCTGGACCTTCTCCATAAATATTTAAACATCAACTTTTAGGTGACCCAAGGACACTCAGAATTGACACATTTCCAGGCCGACTTTGTGATGTGTGATCTTCTCCCTACCTTTTGTCTCCAGGTTCAGTGAACGGTACCACCATGCAGCCTGAGGAACAGGCTGTCAGCAAGCCCTGGCAGTTTCACCTCTTTAATCTTTTCCTCCAGTTCACTGACTTGTTGAAATTGCAATGACATTAGCAAACATTTACAAAATACTTACTCTGTGCCAGGCTCTGTGCTAAGTGTTTTATATTCATTAATTTAGTTAATCCACTCTATAATCCTATGAGTCAGGTGTAATTCCTGTTTTGCAGATAGGCAGACTGAGGTTACTCAGCTAATAAATGACAGGGCTAAGGATGGGATCTAGTCATTCCAGCTCCACAGTCTGCTTTTAAAAATTGCTGCTATGCTCAAACCATATCACTTCTTGCTTATAGAATGGTCACAGCTGCCTTTTTTGTATCTAGTTTTTCCATTGCTTTGCTAGTTGTTCACTATAGTCAGGGTTGCATTTTCTAATGTAATAGTTAATATGTTCAAAAATACGTATATGTATATAATGGATAAAAACCTTGTAGTATAAAGACTTCGACTCTAAAAAAATTATTTTTTAGTTTCTTCTATTTTGAACTTTATGAAAAGTATCACGCTAGGTATAGTCTTCTGTAACTAACTTTTTCACAATTTATTCATGTAGCTTCAGGTAGCTCATATATTTTCATTGTTGTATATTTCACTGTATGAACAATCCATCGTTTACTTACCCACTCTTCAGTTGATGGGAAGTTGGGCTACTTCCAGTTTTGTTTTGTTTTTCTTTTAATGAATGATGTTACTATAAACACTCCCATTAATCTATCCTTGGGGTACATGTGCAAGGTCTTCTTTTTTCTTTTTTTGAGATGGAGTCTTGCTCTGTCACCCAGGCTGGAGTGCAGTGGCGTGATCTTGGCTCACTGCAACCTCTGCCTCCCCAGTTCAAGCGATTCTCCTGCCTCAGCCTCCCAAGTATCTGGGACTACAGGCACCCTTCACAACGCCTGCCTAATTTTTGTATCTTTAGTAGAGATAGGGTTTCGCCATATTGTCCAGGCAGGTCTTGAACTCCTGACCTTGTGATCTGCCCACCTCGGCCTCCCAAAGTGCTAGGATTACAGGCGTGAGCCACCGCGCCCAACCAAAGGCTTCTTTAAGGTAAATAACTAGGAGTAAAATTGCTGTGCAGGATGTTGCATGCTCAGCTCTACAGGATAGTGTCAAATTAATTATCAAAATGGTTGTACCAATTTATATCCCCCACAGAAGTATTAAAAAAATACATGTTCTCATTAATTCCTGGTATTGCCCAACTTTGTAATATTTATTTAAAAATTATTATTATCATTATTTTGTGTCAGGGTCTCACTCTGTTGCCCAGGCTGGAGCGTAGTGGCTCAATCATAGCTTATGGCAGCCTCGAGCTCCCGGGCTCAAGCATTCCTCACTGCCGCAGCCTCCTCAGTAGCTGGACCACAGGCACGCACCATCATGCCTGGCTGAGTTTTTTATATTTTTTTGTAAATATGGGATCTCACTATGTTGCCCAAGCTGGTCTTGAACTTCTGGCCTCAAGCAGTCCTCCCGCTTCAGCCTCTCAAAATGCTGTGATTACTGGCATGAGCTACCATGCCCAGCTCAGACTTAAAACAATATGGCATTGAGATCTTAATTTTATATTTATTTAATTACTAATGATGTGTCTAATTCTTAATACAGTAATTATCTAATTCCTAATGATGTTGAACATCTTTTCCTACATTTATTCACTTGAGTGTCTATTTCTGCGAAGCACCTGTTTATGGTTTCTTTCCCCTACTTTCTTTTGGGTTATTTATCCCTTTGAAATTGCTTTCTTCAGTTCTTTTTGTATTCTGGATACTGATCTTTTATTGGTTATGTACACTAAAAATCTGCTGCCCTGGTTGTGTCCAGGCGGGCTGTGTGTTGAACTGGAAGGGGCGCATGTCCTTGAAAGGCAGCGGCTGCTACTCAGCATCTGCCTCTTGTTGCCATGGACATGTGGACCCAGCATAACTACGTCTTCCAACTCAAAAAGATTTATGTGAAACCTCTCAGTTTTTAAATGTTTTCCAGATGTTCTCTTTAACATGAAATGGACAAAAGGCCTAGGACAGAGCCCCATGAAGCTCTCACATTCAGGGGCCCACCGCGTTGACTTAAGGAGTGGTCAGAGATGTGGGAGGGCAGCTGGGAGAGTCACGCCTTGGGGCCATACATGTGAGCATTTCCAGACAGAGGAGACCAGTGACAGAGTCAACTATTGCTGAGTACCAACACTTGAAGTTGCTTTTTATTCTTGGAGACTGGTAGAGATTTTAAGTGAAGGATTCTAATACTTTTCTGGGGATACAATTTAAATATTCAGTCTATCTGGACTCAAGCTCCAAGGCGAGTGGAACGTGTCTTTCTTCCAAATTGACTACCATTTTGCTTCTCTTCACAAACAAGAGTTCAGACCCTGTACAGAAGATTCAAGAAAATACATTATTAATGTCTGTTCCTTAAGTTGACCTTGTCTTGGATTTGAGAGCGCTGGTTTGCTGTTGCAGTTGTTACAAACAGCCTCTACTATAAAAATACATTGCAACTCTGTTTGTTCGGCATTAGGCCAACGGGGTGGGGAGTATTTGGAGGGGTTACTTTAACCTGCTGTTGTCCATAGAAGAAAACTCTCAGGATTTACATACTCTGCCTGCAAAGGATCAGGGAGGACAGTGATCTTTATTTGCTGGCAATACCATTACGTGTAACTGATGTGCTGTTTTCTTTGTTTGCCAGTTAAGTGTATATGGAAACTCCAGTTGGCACTTTGATGAAGTGCGAAACCAGTGTTATTTTCACCAGTTTATGAAAGAGCAACCTGATTTAAATTTCCGCAATCCTGATGTTCAAGAAGAAATAAAAGTGAGTATAGATACCCACACAGACTTCTCCATTAATGGAAGTTTAGGTAGTTATTAAAACACTTTATACTGCACAGTAATTGTGTAGGCAAATCAAGCCTTTAGTTATTTGAAATACTCTATAGTTATCTGAAACACTTTATATTCCACAATAATTGTGTAGGCAAAAATCAAGCCTTAATTAAATCCAGGATTCAGCTGTCTGGTGCAAATGTAGACTCTCAGACGTGTTTGTGGCTCCTTCCTTCATCTAACCCAGAGTACCCTAAATGGAAGGAGTCAAAAACACCTGCCACCCGAGCTCCAAGTTGCCCCGCCACCTGTGACAGTAAGCTGTGCGGTGTCTGTGACAGTGAGCTGTGCAGTGCCTGTGACAGTGAGCTGGTGCAGGGAGGTGGGTCATTTGGGGTCTGGCTCCTGCATCTGCAATGGGCCTCTTGATGAGTTATTTGACTTTCATGTCTTAGCTGTCTCATCTATGAAACACAGTTGGTGGCAGTATTTGTTTCATAGGGCTGTTTGGAAGAATAGATGGGATAACCCATGCACAACACTTCTGTACTCATTCAGTAAATATTAACATATTGCCTTCTCCATGCCAGGCCCTGTCCTAAGCACTAGGAATGCAGCAGTGAATAAAAGAAGCCTTACCCTCAAGGAGTCTCCAATGTACTGAGGGGAAAGCAGGCAATTAGCCACTTATATATATATATATATGTAAATATCAGGTGGTGGTGAATGCCAAGGGGAAGGGGCATCGGAGTGCCAGGTAAAAGTGGCTCTTCTGTATAAGATGTGTAGGAGACGCCTTCTTATGATGAGATGCTGTTTGGACAAAAACCTGAAGTGGGAAGGGAACCATGAGACTATCTGGGGGAAGAGAATTTCAGGCAGAAAGAACCAATGCAAAGGTCCCGAGGTGAGAGTGTAGTTCGTGTGTTTCAGGGATGGCATGGAAACCAGAGTGTAGGGTTGCCAAATTTAGCAAATAAAAATACAGGATATCCAGTTAAATTTTAAATGAATGATGCAACATTTGAGACATACTGCTACCAAAAAATTATTCATTGATTACCTGAAATTGAAATGTAATTGAGTGTCTTGTATTTTATCTGGCAACCCTACCAGTATCCTGGAGTGAAATGGGTTAGGGCGCTGAAGTAAGCAGTGGGGGCTGATCAGTTCTCACAATACAATTCACAAAACGTAACAGCTATGTTCTTGTTCTTGTTCTTGCTGCTCCTATGGCTACAGTGGCCAGAAACTTAGGTGAGTAGGGGAGTCCTCTGAGCCAAGTAGGCGGGGAGGAGACCTGAACAGAACAGGGAGCAGTGGGTGCCTTTCCACAGCTCGCCACATCAGCCAGATAGAGTGGATGTAAGCTGTCATGTTGGAGTCATTAGGGGCACCTAGAACCCTTGGTTTAGTTTAGTTTTATTTTTGTTTCGTGAGACAGTCTCACTCTGTCACCCAGGCTGGAGTATAGTGGCACAATCTTGGCTCACTGCAACTTGTGCCTCCTAGGTTCAAGCGATTCTCCTGCCTCAGCCTCCCGAGTAGCTGGGACTACAGGCATGTACCACCATGACCAGCTAATTTTTGTATTTTTGTAGAGACAGGGTTTTGCCATGTTGGCCAGGCTGGTCTCAAACTCCTGGCCTCAGATGATCCACCCGTCTCTGCTTTCCCAAAGTGCTGGGATTACAAGTATGAGCCACTGTGCCCGGCCTAATTTCAGAACACTATTATCTTCTCAAAAAGAAACCCCATATCCATCAGCAGTCACTCCTTATGGCCTCCTCCCTTTCTTCCCCCACCCCCTGGAAACCACAAATCTACTTTCTATCTTTTTACCCACCTAAGCCTCAGTTAGATAGGTTTTGCCTATTCTGGACACTTTATACAACGGAATCATGCTGTATCTGTGCATCCCTGATAGGTATCTATATCTATGTTTATTTGAGAAACTGCCAAGTTGTTTTTCAAAGCAGCTGCACCATTTTACATTTCCACTAACCATGCGTACAGGCTCTAATTTCTCCACATTCTCACCAACACTTGTGACTGCATGTGTTTTTTATTACAGTCACCCTGGTGGGTATGAAGCGGCATCTCACTGGTTGTATTTGCCAAATGCCTAAAGACGTTGATCATCTTTTCATGTGCTTGTTGTTCATTTGTATATCTGCATTGTAGTATTGTCTATTCAAATCCTTTGCCCATTATTATTTTATTTTATTTTAGATAGAGTTTCGCTCTGTCACCCAGGCTGCAGTGCAATGGTGCAGTCTTGGCTCACTGCAACCCTAGTCTCCCAGGCTCAAGTGATTCTTGCACCTCAGCTTCCTGAGTACCTGGGACTATAGGCACGTGCCACCATGCCCAGTTAATTTTTGTATTTTTTGTAGAGATGGAGTTTCTCTATGTTGGCCAGGCTGGTCTCGAACTCCCGGTATGGAGCAATCCTCCCTCCTTGACCTCCCACAGTGCTGGGATTACAGGTGTGAGCCACCGCACCTGGCCTTTTGCCCATTGTTAAATAGGATTGTCTTTTTATTATTGGGTTGTAAAAGTTCTTTACATATTCCTTTTTTTTTTTTTTTTGAGACAGGGTCTCACTCTGTTACCCAGGCTGGAGTGCAGTGGTGTGATCTCGGCTCACTGCAACCTCCACCTCCTGGGTTCAAGCAACTCTCTTGCCTCATCCACCCAAGTAGCTGAGATTACAGGTGCATATCACCATACCTGGTTAATTTTTGTATTTTTAGTAGAGACGGGGTTTCACCGTGTTGGCCAGGCTGGTCTTGAACTTGTGGTCTCAAGCAGTCCTCCTGCCTCAGCTTCCCAAAGTGCTGGGATTATAGGCATGAGCCACTGCACCTGGCCTCTTTATGTATTCTTGATACATGATTTACAAATAATTTTTCCCATTCTGTTGGTTGTCTTTTTACTTTCTTGATGGTGCTTTTTGAAGCACAAGAGTTTTTAATTTTGATGATGTCCTATTTATTTATTTGTTTTTTGAGGCAGAGTTATGCTCTTGTTACCCAGGCTGGAGTTCAGTGGTGCAATCTCGGCTCTCTGCAACCTCTGCCTCCTGGGTTAAAGCGATTCTCCTGCTTCAACCTCCTGAGTAGCTGGCATTATAGGCATGTGCCAACACGCCCAGCTAATTTTTTGTGTTTTTAGTAGAGACAGGGGTTTTATCATGTTGACCTCAGGTGATCTACCCGCCTTGGCCTCCCAAAGTGCAGGGATGACAGGCATAAGCCACCACGCCTGGCCCAATTTATTTATTTTTTTCTTTTGTTGCTTGTGCCTTTAGTGTCGTATCTAATAACCGTTGCTTAATCCAAGATCATGCAGATTTACTCCTATGTTTTCTTCTCAGTTTCGTAGCTTTAGCTCTTACATTTTAGGTTGTCTGTGATCCATTTTTAAATTAATTTTTATGTAGGGTGTGAAGGTAAGGAGTCCAACTTCTTTTTTTTTTTGCATGTGGCTATTCAGTTATTCCAGCAATATATGTTTAAAAATACTATTCTTTCCCTACTGAATTGTCTGGCAACTTTTGTTGAAAATAAATTGACCATAAATGCATGAGTTTATTTCTGGACTCTCAATTCTGTTCCATTCATCTATCTGTCTGTCCTTACGTCAGTACCACACACTGTCTGAATGACTAGCGCTTTGTACTAAGTTTTGAAATCTCGAAGTGTGAGTCCTACAACTTTGTTATTTTTCCGTATTGTTTGACTATTCCGAGTCCTTTGGATTTCCATACGAATTTTTGAGTCAGCTTGACAATTTTTGCAAATCAGGCTGCTGGGGTTTTGATAGGGATCGCATTGAATCTGTGGTTCACTCTGGGGAATATCGCCACCTTAGATTAAGCCTTCCAATCCATGAACGTGAGGTGTCTTTCCATTTATTTACATGTTCTTTTATTTCTGTCAACAATGTTTTGTAGTTCTCAGAGTGCATGTCTTGTACTTCTTTTGTTAAATGTATTCCTACAGACTACTTAGTTTTAAGCCTTTTTTTTTTTTTTAAACTGTATATGTTTGGTGATTCCAGAATTTGTGTGAATTGTTTTGGAATCTGTTCCAGAAGTAAGCACCATGAGTGAGGGCACCTTGTCTCCATGGGGTTGTGGGGTGTAAACATGGTCAGCAGACTAACTAGGGGTTAGTTTTAAACTTCTCTGGTAGCCTGTGGACTCTCCTCTTCTTCATCACCCAAACTCCTTTGCATACCCCCCACGCCTCACGCTCTCCCCACACATTCTATGTGCTAAGTGCTGTACCTGGATAGATTAATGCTCAGAATAAGCCTAATTTACGAGGTTTTGTGATCGTTTTACAGAGGAGAAAATTGAGGCTTAGATAGGTAAAGTCACCATCCTTGGGAGTCATGGTGCAGGATTGAAATCCAGACACTGGGACTTGAGTTCATGCTCTTCACCACAATCCTACACCTGCTTTGTATGTGTAGGCAATGTATGTGTTTCCTTCTCCATGCTTCGCTTTTTCTGCACAGTTTTTTCAAGGAGGTTTTCAGTTATAAATTGATAAATGTGAGTGTAAACCAGCTGTTTTACAGTTGGTTTATCAGGCAGTGGATTTTTCCAGTCTCCTTGTGGCAACAGTGATGAATTGTCTGGGGATGTTTAGACAAGTGTGATAAATTCTGCCAAAATGTGCCAGCCAATACATTAATTATTTTTTTGACTAACCCAGCTGTGCTCTTCCAGATACCCAAGACTTGGAGTGTGTGGATAGGATCTTTATTTACTGGTCCTCTGGCTGAAATCCCTCATGTGATGAATCATTACTGCCTCCGGTTGAGAGATTAGACTTTATTTGCAAGACTGGTTTAGAAGATTTACTGTTAGAAGTAAATAAGAAATGCTGAGAAACTGAGAGGAAAGCCTCTTTGCTCCCGGAAAGGGACCTTTGGCATGAAGGAGACTTCTGTCACCCTCCTCCCCACCTTACCCCC